AAGAGCCCTCTAGGACTTAAAGTGGACAGGGTGCTTGGCCAGGCAGTGGACATGCTGTGCTCTGAGACTAAAGGGAGCTATTGTCTGAAATTGTCGCATATTTGTTTGTTTTAAAAACCATGATCTATGGACACTTTCAATACAATAGCCAAAATCAATAAATAAATTGCTGAAAGGTGGAGCTATGGACATCACACTGCGCACTAGGTCCAATCTAACACAGCATATGGCGACATCCCTATGGCGCAGATATTTTTGGTCAATATCAATGTGGACTCAACTGCACATCAAATTCAAGTACATAGGCAGATTCAAGAAAAGTCACTAGAATATAACATAGATACATACCATTTCTTCGTTGACTTCAAACCAACCTATGACAAAGTAAAAAGAACTGCATGATATAATGCAATGATAACCTCTGGGATCCCACCTGAGTTAGTTAAGTTGACCCAACTAACAATGCAAAACATAAGCTCATGCGTTAGAATTGAAGAAGAAAACTCTACGTTCTTTGACATTAATAATGGTCTAAGACAAGGCAGCATGTGCAAATTCTCACATTCGCTGACGATATAGTTATAGTGGACAAAAGTATGAGAGACATGGTGCAGTGTTTTACAAAGCTTGTGGATGCGAGTGAGTTAAGACTTGTAAATGAGGGAAAAACCAAATTTATGTTCAGTTTATGTCCAAAATTATGACGCTTATGTCAGGACAGGTTTAATAAGAGTTTCATGTATTAGTATCTTGGTTTTTCTGCTAATTATGTGTGATGTTAAAAATTGCTTTAGTCCAAAGTAAGCTCTGTTCGTCAGGTATATTTTTCTCTTAATTTCTACGCTTACTAGGTTGCTGATATTTAGTTGTATTACAAGATATATAAACTCTGAGACCCCTTCGAATGTGTGTGCTTCTGTCGCCAAATCTTGTGGTGCCGCTATTTGTGTGGTGTTCGTGACCTTCATGTATTTTGTTTTGGATACGTTGACCTGCAGTCCCATTGTCTTCGCGGCATTTTATAATGTTTAAAAGCCTGTATCAGGTCTCTTTTTATTCGTGGTACTATGTCAATGTCATCTGCCTAGGCCAATATCTGTACACTTCTATTGACGATCGTAGCTCTGGTTGTTATGCCCGATTTCTCTATGCCTCTTTATAGCGCGATGATAGGCACGATAGACTGTCTCCCTGGCGTAATCCATTATGTGTTTGAAAAGACCTTGACACTCAGTTTTGTACCTTGACTTTGCACTCTTTCAAAAGAGTTGCGTTTGCCAATGTTATTAGTTGCGACGGAATATCTAGTTCTGCCATGGCATTTGCTGAACGATACATTTATGAAATATTTGGAAAATATGGAAAAGTCCTGATGGAAAAACAAGGAACGAAATCGACTATTTCTTAACATACAAAAAAGAATTATTTAAAGACGTAAATGTGCTAAACCAGTTCAGTACAAGCAGTGATCATAGGTTAGTAAGAGCTAAAATAACGATATCAACCGAAAAAAAAAGGACTAAAATGATAAATAAGAAACAACCAAAGAAATGGACAAAACCAACTAACATTCAGGAGTTCCAAAATATATTGGTAATTCATTGAAAGATACAAAAACAGCAGACATCAATATATTGAATAAACAAATCGTCAACACAATGCAACAGGCTCAAACTAAATATTGCCCGACAAGCAAAAAAAATGAAAAACTGAGTCAACCCACGAAAACCCTTATAGAACTAAGGCGACAAATGAAAGGAGATACACTACAAGCAAAGAAGCAATAAATCAAATAAATAAGGCGATTACAAAGGCAATCTGAAAAGACATAAGAAACTACAATGTAGAAAAAACATAACAGACAATAGAGCAAAATAAGAACATGAAAATTTTGAAGAAGAGCGTACAAAAAGGGAAAATAGAAATTAACAAACTGAGAAACAGAACTGGAGAAGAAACAACGAACAGAGATGAAATATTAAGAATAGTCGAAGAGTTCTACACAGAGTTATATAGATCAAGAAAAAAAGATAACAATACGGAACCTCCAATTACACTAAAAACTGGGGTATTAAACCAAGGATCAGATTTAATGCCCGATATAACAAAATCAGAAATCAAAGAAGCCCTGAAAAAAATGAAAAATAATCGAACACTGGGTGAAGATGGAATAGTATCAGAAGCACTAAAAATTGGAGGAGATGTATTACTTGAAAAAATTAAACAACTTTTCAATATCTGCCTTCACAGCGCCAATATTCCAATAGAGTGGAACAACGCTACTATGATTATATTACACAAAGCAGGTGACAAAACAAATTTAGAGAATTACAGACCGATTAGCCTCCTCAGCCATATATATAAGTTGTTTACGCGAATACTAGTTAAGAAAATGGAAAGAAAATTAGAGACTTATCAATCAAGGGAACAGGCAAGATTCCGAAAGTTACGGAAAAAATGACCTACAAAATATAAAAAACCTAATAGAGAAAGCAGTGGAATACAATAAACCTCTAGTTCTAATATTTATCGATTTTCACAAAGCCTTTGACACAGTTGAGCTAAGCAAAATATTACAGGCGCTTAAAGAATGCAGGCTAGATTATAGATATACTAAATTATTATACAAAATATACCTGCAGGCAACAACCACTGTCAGATTACATACTAACAGTAATCGCATAAAAATAGAACGAGGGGTTAGGCAAGGAGACCCAATGTCACCTAAACTCTTTAATACGGTGCTAGAACATGCTTTTAAGAATTTGGATTAGATGACAAAGGGAATAAAAATAGGTGGAGAATATCTAAACAACTTACGTTTCGCCGATGATATACTTATAATAGCTGAAGATCTAGGTATGGCAAGAGAGATGGTACAGGAACTCGTTGTGGCTACAGAAAATGTAGGTTTAAATATAAATATCTAGAAAACAAAAATCATGACCAATTTGGTACCCAACCAGAACATCAGTATTGGTGGAAAAGAAATAGAATTCGTAGATAGATATAAATACCTGGGACATGAAATTATGATTGGCAGGGATAACCAGACTCATGAACTGAATAGAAGAATCGGCCTTGGGTGGACAGCATTTGGAAAACTGAGAGAAACTTTTAGAAGTGAGCTGCCCACATGCCTAAAGAGAAAGGTATTTGATCAGTGCATCCTCTTAGTCTTGACGTACGGAGCAGAAACACTTACCTTAACAAAAGCAGCAGCTATCAAACTGAGAGTCACGCTGAGAAGAATGGAGCGGTCCAAATTATGATCCAAAGTATCAAAAGCCTTGGACAAATCGTGAAATAAACCACATGTCTTCTCTCGTCTGTCCAAAGCATCCAACACTAAGCTGACGAAATTTGCAAGAGTTGTAGTTGTAGACTTAGAATGTAAAACTATGTTGAAAATTATACAAGACACTATGCTTTTTTAGAAATATGCGTTCATTCTAGTATAAACTAGAGTTTCAATTATCTTTGAAAATACAGATAAGTCTTATGGGACGATAGTTGTTAAGGTCATCTTTATCACCACTTTTGAATAAAGGAATTACAATAGATAGTTTAAACATACTAGGAAATATTCCTTGTTGAAAAGAGGCATTACAAATATCCGTCAGTGTTTGTTTAACAACAGTCATTGTTTTAATAACTTAGGGGAAATCTGATCAAAATCACAACTGTGTTTGGATTTAAAACTTCCGACTATACTAGTTATTTCCTGTGGGTTAGTTGAATATAAAAACATAGAAGAACTATTACACACCGTCTCTTTATTAACTTCAAAGCAGCCTATGACAATGTGAAAAACTGCATTATATAATGCAATGATAGACTTTGGGATCCCACCTGAGTTAGTTAAGTTGACCCAACTAACAATGCAAAACGTAAGCTTATGTGTTAGATTTAATGGAAAACTCTACATTTTTTGACATTAATAATGGTCTAAGACAGGGGGACGCGGTGGCGTGTCTTCTCTTTAATATTGCCTTGAAAAAGGCAAATTCTCGCATTTGCTGACGATATAGTTATAGTGGACAGAAGTATGAGAGACATGGTGCAGTGTGTTACAAGGCTTTCAGACGCATCAAGTTAATTAGGACTTGTGGTAAACGAGGAAAAAACCAAATATATGTTGGTTTCTAAAAACCCTCGAAATATCCAACACAGAATTTAAATTAACAACCATACCAAGTCAAATAATTCACATATCTTGGATCGCTAGTAAACGCAACAAATACGACAGGTGACGAAATAAAAAAGATGCATAGCAATAGCAAACAGAATACATGAATACACGAAAAGATCAACATTTTCAAAACCCTGGTGGAAAGATTTGAACGTGGTTATAACAATGAGTAGTTAAGCTAAGAACAATGTGAGATTACAAATTAAGGGATTAATTTGTGATTGAACACATGGGAACAAGAAGCAGATGACGACCACGAAGGAGATGGATTGATAACGTGGAAGAAGCCCTACAGATTGTAAAGGTCAGAAGATGGAAAGCAGTTGCCAGGAATCGACAGAAGTGGCGACTTCTTTGTGAGCAGGCCAAGATCCACAACGGATTGCCGAGACACTTATGGTGATGATCAACAAAATAACCACTAAATAGTTCTAGTGAAGAACTATTTAGTGGTTCATAGGATAAAAGAATGTTACTATTGATATGACACTGGATAGAAAATTGTGCAATTAAGAAAATGGACTCAAACTCTAACGCAAAAAGACAAAGAGAATACTTATTGTTTATCTTTAATATATTCTATGGGTAAAATACAATAAAAAAATATTTACAATAATAATCAAGATATAAATTTTAAATATTAGACAATTATTAGCTTCCTTTAAGTTTATCAATTTCAAGTGGTACTTCTCGAATGATTCATAATCACAAGTACGCATAGGTTCATTGTAAAGGGATTAATTAAAAAAACAATGATTAGTATCAGATAAAAAGATCGTATAAATACGAAATTAAACTACAGAAAAGCATCTTATCCTCAAGCTTGGAGTTTTGAATAAAAGTTCAAAATGATGGCTGCGGTACTCCTTAAAGTAGTGTTAACTATCCTTACATTTGTAAGTATCAATATATTATTAGTATTAGTAGTATAGGTTTTAGTAGGCAATAAATATTAATATCTTACAAAATATTTACATTTTAACTTATATTTTTATGAAAAAAAACTGACATTTGTTCCATTTCTTTTGCTATTAATTTATGTTTTCACTCCATATTTTCTAATCCACTCTCTTACTTTATTTAGACATAAGTAACAGAATAAATGTTATTTATTCTTGGTTCTTTCCATTTTTGTCGATAACTTTTATTTCTTGTCTGGTATCTGCAACGCAATATGTGGATAACTGTGGAAATATTTTTTGGTAAATGAGATAATTTATTCATATACCATGCGATATTCTGAAGAAATTTATATCATGCATTCAATTATACATATATTTGCTATTTTTATTAATACTTATTCCTTTTTGAATACAGGCCAATGAATAATCAAATCCCGTTTAAATCAAAAATCATCGAACCATATTTTGATTTGTTCCACATAGTATTTCAATTATTTTCTCTTGCAATATTAGTAGTAGATTTTTCATACATACCTATTTGGGAACACAAAACAATAATTAATAATACAAAAACAAGTCGTTGAGTGTATTTTCACCATATTTTATTTCATTATATAATCTGGAAAATCGTCTTTTGCTAAAATTCAGAAGTTATATTTATACCCCTGAAATCTTCTCTAAAAATTTTATTCAATAAAGAGAAATGAGCAGTTGGAACTTGTCATGTCAAATTATTTATAAAAAGTAACGAATTATAATATATAATATTGATTTCAGACCTGCATTGAATCAAGAGATTCTAGTAAGATCAACGGACACTTCACAGATTCATCAAGATGGAATGCAACGACAAACTCGCCCGGAAATTTCACCAAAAGCCCAGGTAACTGGACCAATAGTACTGGTTCTAACTGGAATTTGACTACACCCGTACCTGGAAATTTCACCAACCAGCCAAATTGGAACGTAACCACACTATCTCCTGGAAATTTCACCCAAAACCCAGCGAACTGGACCAACAGTACTAGCTCTAGTTGGAACCTGACTACACCTGTACCTGGCAACTTCACAAATCAACCAAATTGGAATGTAACTACACTTTCTCCTGGAAATTTCACCCAAAACCCAGCGAACTGGACCAACAGTACTGGCTCTTACTGGAATTTGACTACACCTGTACCAGGAAATTTCACCAACCAGCCAAATTGGAATGTAACCACACTATCTCCTGGAAATTTCACCCAAAATCCAGCGAACTGGACCAACAGTACTGGCTCTAGTTGGAACCTGACTACACCTGTACCTGGCAACTTCACAAATCAACCAAATTGGAATGTAACTACACTTTCTCCTGGAAATTTCACCCAAAACCCAGCCAACTGGACCAACAGTACTGGCTCTAGTTGGAACCTGACTACACCTGTACCTGGCAACTTCACAAATCAACCAAATTGGAATGTAACTACACTTTCTCCTGGAAATTTCACCCAAAACCCAGCGAACTGGACCAACAGTACTGGCTCTAACTGGAATTTGACTACACCCGTACCAGGAAATTTCACCAACCAGCCAAATTGGAATGTAACCACACTATCTCCTGGAAATTTCACCCAAAACCCAGCGAACTGGACCAACAGTACTGGCTCTAGTTGGAACCTGACTACACCTGTACCTGGCAACTTCACAAATCAACCAAATTGGAATGTAACTACACTTTCTCCTGGAAATTTCACCCAAAACCCAGCGAACTGGACCAACAGTACTGGCTCTAACTGGAATTTGACTACACCCGTACCAGGAAATTTCACCAACCAGCCAAATTGGAATGTAACCACACTATCTTCTGGAAATTTCACCCAAAACCCAGCGAACTGGACCAACAGTACTGGCTCTAGTTGGAACCTGACTACACCTGTACCTGGCAACTTCACAAATCAACCAAATTGGAACGTAACTACACTTTCTCCTGGAAATTTCACCCAAAACCCAGCGAACTGGACCAACAGTACTGGCTCTAGTTGGAACCTCACTACACCTGTACCTGGCAACTTCACAAATCAACCAAATTGGAATGTAACTACACTTTCTCCTGGAAATTTCACCCAAAACCCAGCGAACTGGACCAACAGTACTGGCTCTAGTTGGAACCTGACTACACCTGTACCTGGCAACTTCACAAATCAACCAAATTGGAATGTAACTACACTTTCTCCTGGAAATTTCACCCAAAACCCAGCAAACTGGACCAACAGTACTGGCTCTAGTTGGAACCTGACTACACCTGTACCTGGCAACTTCACAAATCAACCAAATTGGAATGTAACTACACTTTCTCCTGGAAATTTCACCCAAAACCCAGCAAACTGGACCAACAGTACTGGCTCTAGTTGGAACCTGACTACACCTGTACCTGGCAACTTCACAAATCAACCAAATTGGAATGTAACTACACTTTCTCCTGGAAATTTCACCCAAAACCCAGCAAACTGGACCAACAGTACTGGCTCTAGTTGGAACCTGACTACACCTGTACCTGGCAACTTCACAAATCAACCAAATTGGAATGTAACTACACTTTCTCCTGGAAATTTCACCCAAAACCCAGCAAACTGGACCAACAGTACTGGCTCTAGTTGGAACCTGACTACACCTGTACCTGGCAACTTCACAAATCAACCAAATTGGAATGTAACTACACTTTCTCCTGGAAATTTCACCCAAAACCCAGCGAACTGGAGCAACAGTACTGGCTCTAACTGGAATTTGACTACACCCGTACCAGGAAATTTCACCAACCAGCCAAATTGGAATGTAACCACACTATCTCCTGGAAATTTCACCCAAAACCCAGCGAACTGGACCAACAGTACTGGCTCTAGTTGGAACCTGACTACACCTGTACCTGGCAACTTCACAAATCAACCAAATTGGAATGTAACTACACTTTCTCCTGGAAATTTCACCCAAAACCCAGCGAACTGGACCAACAGTACTGGCTCTAGTTGGAACCTGACTACACCTGTACCTGGCAACTTCACAAATCAACCAAATTGGAATGTAACTACACTTTCTCCTGGAAATTTCACCCAAAACCCAGCGAACTGGATCAACAGTACTGGCTCTAACTGGAATGTGACTACACCCGTACCTGGAAATTTCACCAACCAGCCAAATTGGAATGTAACCACACTATCTCCTGGAAATTTCACCCAAAACCCAGCGAACTGGACCAACAGTACTGGCTCTAGTTGGAACCTGACTACACCTGTACCTGGCAACTTCACAAATCAACCAAATTGGAATGTAACTACACTTTCTCCTGGAAATTTCACCCAAAACCCAGCGAACTGGACCAACAGTACTGGCTCTAACTGGAATTTGACTACACCCGCACCTGGAAATTTCACCAACCAGCCAAATTGGAACGTAACCACAGTATCTCCTGGAAATTTCACCCAAAACCCAGCGAACTGGACCAACAGTACTGGCTCTAACTGGAATTTGACTACACCCGTACCAGGAAATTTCACCAACCAGCCAAATTGGAATGTAACCACACTATCTCCTGGAAATTTCACCCAAAACCCAGCGAACTGGACCAACAGTACTGGCTCTAGTTGGAACCTGACTACACCTGTACCTGGCAACTTCACAAATCAGCCAAATTGGAATGTAACTACACTTTCTCCTGGAAATTTCACCCAAAACCCAGCGAACTGGACTAATAGTACTGGCTCTAGTTGGAACCTGACTTCACCTGTGCCTGGAAACTTCACAAACCAACCAAATTGGAACGTGACCACACTGTCTCCTGGAAATTTCACCCAAAACTCAGGCAACCTGACTGTTAATATCGGTCATTAAATATGTAAAATAATAATTCTTTTCTGATAACGATAAAATAACTGTACCTTAAATGTTATTTGTTAATTGTTAAATAATAAAATATGACAATGAGCATTATTTGGTAATATTTCATTTTTTAATGCATTTATATCTAAATACTAGTCACTAGAATTAATATAAATTATTTATTTAAACCAATTCTTAAAAATAAAGATATTTCTAATTTAGTTTATTTTATTCTTTTCTATTCTATTATCTTATGTTTCATTTTATTGGTGACGAAACACATGTAATGATCCGGAATGTTGGTACTGGCATTAACAGTAAAGTAGAGTAAAATACTTTCACACATTATTGGATAAGTCTTTGGAAATAAGAAATGAAAAGAGAAAAATAGTATCAAAAATGTATCTATTGTAGCGAGATTAAATAAAACGAGCAGTTTGAATTTATATAAATATATTTATTTATAAAGTGAAATGACAGCAAATATTTGATTTCACGAAAACATCGCCTTTGCATCTGTTGATACGTATTTCGACCTAATAGGTCTCATCAGAACAGTTATTCAAAGGTGTTCTCAACGTGAAAGATCAATATTTTCTGTCTTTTAAGAAGCAACACTAAAATGGCTTCGATATGGACGCAATAGCGACATGTGACAATAAAACCGTAAAATAGTTTCGAAATACAATTCAGATTTCCGCTTTAATCTGTGCTTTCTAAAAATTGCAAAGCAAAACAGACGTTGATAAAGGTGTTAAAAGACACCTTTTAACACCTGGTAACTCCAGAACAGCTGGTAACTACAACTCAGTTAGTAGTTACCAGCTGTTCTCCGTGTGAAGAGGTTTACTCTCCGGCTCTGGAACTCAATTCAGCCATGTATGTTACCTTGAAGTCATATTTAATTTAATACTGAACATCACAGTTTTTTACCAACAAGATGTATAATCTTTTACAACTATATGTAATTTAAAGGGTTTTTACCCATGTATTTTGGTGGGTCAGGCATTTTAACCTAGCAATTTTAAAATTTAAATCTGATGCTGGACTGTTTCTTTCTTTTTTTGATGTAGCCCTTTTAAGGGTTTTTAAATAAATATACCCATTTACGAAGACTAACCTCTTTTTTGCGATACGTGGTATACAGCCAGCTACAGGAATTGTTTTCCTTGTGGATTTTATTTTAATATTTCTTTGACAAAATTAGTCTAACCTATGATGCCGGAGCCTTGAGTGTAAGAAACAATAGAATAAGGCTGGATACGTCAGGGAATTAGACGATCCTTAGTGAGGAAAACCTCATTAAATGTCGAGAAATTGAATAATTAAAGCTAAAGTAAATAATTTATCATCAATTGCACTGATTTTGAAGAAGCCAAAAACATCTCACCAAGGAAAATGAAAATAAAAACTTTATTATTGAACAATAATCACTCCAACAGAAAAATAGCATCAATTTCTAAAGTTTCAAGGGCAACTGTGGACTGTATAAAGCAAAAATTTGACGATAACTTGGATTTGACCCCACGGCACAAACAAAAATGTGGTCGGAAAAAAATTACAACATCACGAGATAAAAGAAAAATTCAAGATAACAAGATAATAAGTTATTGTCTTGATACACAAAAAATCGAATGAAATAGCTTGTGGTCTGACAATTGGATATACTCTTGGTACTATATACCAATACTATATACCAATTGGTCTTTGCTGAGTTTTTGGTATAGGGCCATATACTATTTTGGTACATCGGTCTTCGAGGTTGCTACTTGAAAAACGGATATCCGGGTTATATGATCTTTTCCAAACTTTGCTTTGAAAAGATGGTAGAAGTTTAGGATCATGAATTAACGTGAGATTACTCCTTTTGGCCCATGCTTCTACTGCGTCTCCATTTTCCGTTCGAATCTGCATAGCTCCAGAGTAACCTGTGACTGTTAATGTCTCCCAGTATAAGCTGAGCAGTCATTAAAAAATTTTAATTTTTACAAGATTTAGATAAATTATAGATTCCGTTCACGACACCCGCCTCTAAAAACAGCAAAAAGGCTAGTAGATCAAAACTTTAATGTAACTGAATGGTGGAGAGAACAATGGGAGAATAAGGCTGCACCAGCTAACTGGAACATGCCATGTATTACAAGCAAACCTGAGGCCTTCAACCAACCGAGACGAATTTGGACCACACTCAATAGAATAACGACGAACTGTGGCAGATGTTCCGACTCACTTTTTAGATGGGGAAAAATACAATCACCAAATTGCGACTGCGGCGCCGAAAGGCAAACAGTAAAACACATGGTAGAGGAATGCCCGATTAGATCCTATAACGGCAACCCTTCAGATTTCCTGGCAGCTACAAAAGAGCCAATCGAATATATTTATAATCTAGATGTTTGTTTGTAGAATAATATTTTTGTATTTACTGTTGTTCGTAATTTATATTATATGTATATATATATGAACCTGTGATGTAGCCATACGCTAAATAAATAAATAAATATAGATTTATATAGGGAACACAACACTCCTTTCTAACCTTTGTCTCTGGATTCTGGAAATATTTGCCAAACGCCATTCCCTACCTCTGATTCTATTTTTATCAAATTCTCAACACGTGGGAACTTTTAATGCCCAACAATTTTTATGGGCGATGGGTTTAACCTTTTTCTTTCCGAAATAAAAGTTTTCTTTTTTCAACTCCCTGACCCTAATCGTAAATTCGTGATTTCGAAGGCACAACAAGAGAATGGAGAATCTTGCCATGTTTAATGCAGTGGGGTGCGTCGTTGGGGCGGTAAACGGCACGCCTCTCCTGCAATATTTATTCGAGATTTGATTTTGAAATAGTGCGGGAGGGTGAGTGGAATGACGAGTACATTATATACCTACTGCGGTGAATAAAGAAAACGCAATAACCTCTAAAGGTGGAATTAGTATTTATTTATTTAGTTAAATCAGCTAATTTCTTTTAAAACTTTTAGCTTTCATCATTAGATTTTAGCCGTCGGTTGAGATTTTTATTGCCTTCTCCAGGATTTTTAATACTACATTATTTTTTAGTCAGGTGAACCCGTCGAAATGTGAACTAGTTTTCATTTAGGTGATATTTATGACACATTTTGCATGATTTATGAGATGTTCTAAGTCATGATATTTTTTTTAGAATGCTTACGGACTTCACTACATACAATTGAACGACATAAATTTGTAACATACGAAATATTATGTATTTCGGCTCAATTTTGCTATAGGTGATTGTCTAACAAAAGGTTGTCAAAATAATTATATTATAAAAATCCAATACTTCAGCGGGCTGCTGGATTCTGAAATCATAAAAATTGAAAGCTACACATAAATCTACGATTTTATTATGCTGTCAAACCAGTTATCGCTTCCTTGGACAAGTTCTTCTTTGAGCGGTGTTGCCAACCTCATTCCTTTAGATGTTTCTCAAATAAGGTTTTATCCATAAAATATTTACAAGAAAAAAAGAAAATAACTACAAACCATTAAGTTTATTTTTGTTATTAGTCTGTTGTAGTAGATTGGTAAATACAATGAAAAATATAGGCAAATATCCGATTTATTTAAAGATACGAAGAAAATATAACTCTCAAAAAGATCCGCAAATCGGATTATTACACGGCGATTGGCAACATTGTTACGCAAACAACATTGTTGCGAGTAAGATAGTTGAACGATATTTTATACAATGTCTATCACCGGGTATGGATTTATTTTTGTCCAAGTTTTATATTGGTCCACTATTTCAAATGCAGTTCAAACAGACATATATTAAATTGTATGATCCGTTTTAAATTCGTTCAATCTGTATTAGGACCGTGCAAGTTCGGAACAGCGACACCTGGTGTCGTAAATCAGCAAAATTTACTATGCTTTCATGTTAGATCGAGGTTACCGGATAACTGTCAAGGAAATAGCCCCAAAAAAGAATAAGAAGAAAAAGTAAGATTGAGGTTATGTCGGTATGTTATTAAAAAGTAAACGTTGTAAGTAGTGTAAATACAAATAAATATATTATTACATTACAGCATTTCAGTTAATATGGATGCAATAATAAAAACTGGATTTGAGAAAGTAAATCACCAAATAACTTTTCAACCAAGTCTGAGTCAAAGGGAAAAGCTGTAGTAGTGACAAATGTCAAAAAATAATGAAAGAATTATGTGGAAGAATTATGAAAAATAAATTACCATAAATAATGCTAATGCATAAATGCATAAATTAGCAGGTTAAGCCCATAATATCATCATATTGGTTTGAACAATTAATTCTTTTTCTGTAAACTTTTGGACATCGAATATATCTTAATGCATCTTCAGAAAAACTTGAACTTGACGCATTTTTGTAAACTTCAAAAAAATAAAATTTAAACATTAAACTTGATTTTTGGGTTAAAATGAACTCTTAGAAGTGAGTGTTATGAAACTAAAATTTACACTTAAAAGTGAACTTTTATTTATTATTTATTTCAAACTGATTTTAAAATCGGGCGCAAGAATAATGTATAATTTAGATTATGTTACTTATACTTTTTTATGATATAAATCCACTTTTCTCTTTGTAGTAGCTTTGTGCTTCGAAGTTGGAAACGAATAAAACTTAAATTGACAATTTTTTGTTGTATTTTTACAATTTATAACACAGCATTTCCTAAATCCCATTTTCTTCAGTGACAGAAGGTGTAAATAAACAAACGAATATGAAATATGACAATTGATAATATGAATTTATGAAATCTATGAAATGTGCAGTAAAAAATGCAAGATTTCTCCACTACTCGCGCACGATCGTTTCTCGTATCCCCTCCAAGTACTTGCACGTCGCCAATACTTAAATTTGGATACGTTCATAACATCAGATGTGGAAATTATGTTAAATTTTTTTCCAATGTATCCATGGTTCACACATTCCCGTCAATTTGGGGTAAGTGTGACAATGAACTTTAGCTTACTTTAGCCTGTGTTATTTTTGGAGCAAGTGTAAATAATTTTAAAGTGCGAGAAAAACCGAATTTTTTAGTGTGAAAAATTTTAATTTATTTATGTTTAACAAGTAACAAACTTTTTAAGATTTATAGATACAACCCGACAATATTTACGTCAAAAATAAAATGATTCCTTCTGTGTTTAAGGATTCTGGTAAAGTTTTTACGATGTCATCTTTAACTATCATATCCGTGTCTTCTATATCAGGC